CATTGTCTACTGATAGAAGGCTGAAAGGATGTTAACAATATCAGTATTGATAAGGCTATAAAGCAACTAGAGTCCATACATCATTGATAGGAAGGTAAAACAGAACAATCAGGAAAAGACCTGTATATGACTGTTACAGAAGTTTTATTCCTAAGGGCTAAAAACCAGAAACAAACTGAACTCCCATCAACAGGTAAAAACTAGTGCTAGTTCCATAGAATATTGCTCTGCAATAAAAAAAAACGAATGAATTATTAACCATGCAATGATGTGGATGAGTCTCAAAAAGCACCATACTATTTGAAACAAAGAAACCAGGCTCAGAACAATACCTAGCTTATGATTCCATTTATATAAAATTCTAGGAGAGACAAAACTAATTTATGGTAAAAATCAGATGTGTGGTTTCTAAGGCTGGGAACATTCGATTGCCAAGTGACAAAAGGGTATTTGGGGGGAAGGGGTAGTGGTGGTTGTTGCAGCAGTGACTTGAGCATTTGTATTTTTGTTAAATTTTACCAACATGAGCCAGGAGCCTATAGCTATTGTAATCCTAGCTATTCAGAAGGCTGAGATTTAAGAATTGCTGTTCAAAGCAAGCCCAGGCAGGAAAGTCTGTGAGAAATTTATCTCCAATTAACCACCAGAAAACTGGAAGTGGTACTGTGGCTCAAAGTAATAGAACACTAGCCTTGAGCAAAAAACGCTCAGGGACAGTGCCCAGGACCTGAGTTCAAGCCCCATGACCAACAGCAGCAAAAAAAAAAAAAAAAACTATAGATAAGTGAGCATATGTTTTATAAAGTCCAAAGATACACTCGAAAATAAAAAAACAATAGTACTTAAAAGGTGATATTCAACATATTTAACAATTAGGAAGCACAAGCTCTGACCAATCAGAACAAATGGTGGGTATGAAAAATCAATATAGCCCCCCAATGCCTACCCAGGAACACAATGTTTCTCAGTGGGTGGCAGGATTATTGATATACTTGCTCTTCTTCTTGCTTATCCTTACTTTGTAATTTTCTGTAACAATCAGGTTCTTTAGAAGAAGGAAAAAAATCCATTTTTAATTATAAAAAAGAAGAATGGTACCCTGTTGATACCACATTTCCTACTGTTATAAAATTCTAATGGATCTCAAAACCCTAATGGAACTTTTAAATAATAGATATGAGAAATGGTATACTAAAACAGCATTGAATTCAAAGTTAAAAATGGATAATGCTATAAAAATATTTTCCATCTACTACAAAGGAAATGGTAAGATATATTTTATATCATTTTACAATTTTAATATTTTAACATGCCCTCTTTTTGCTCTCATCCCACCTAGACCTCTATATAATTAATTGTGCTTAAGGGAGAGAAAGTAAATTGTTTTTTTTCCAAATTGTCTTGCTATCTTACACAAAATCCGACCTGTAGTATTTTCCTATGGGTATCTTGGCCCAGGTCAAACTTTAACCTCTGAGCAAGTCAGGAAACCAAATGATAATTATCAACCCTGGATAAATTTTTACAGCAGAATTACTGTCATGACAAGGAAAATTGCTTCCATCTCTTCCTAGTACAACCACTGGCGTCTCTATGGCTTATCACAGTAACAAACCTTTGCTCTGAGCAATTTTTTAGAGGTAAGCACAATAAAAACCTGACTATAAGAGCAGTCATGAGAAGTTATGATCAGCAAATAATGACCAGGGAGTCCCTTTTATCATGTTTGTCTCTATTAACAGAGAAACTGTACGTGCTCCCATCAGCCCCGTGGGGAGTCAATGGCTGGTTTAGCAACAGGACTCCTTTCTGAAACTCTGAAAACCCTAGGGTAAAATTATACTACTATACTATCTCCTAACATTGCTTTACAATGCAGCTCAAATTTGTGATTTTAAAAACACCCAGGCACGCTGTGAGTTCACAGTTACCTGTAATGACATGCAAATCTCACTGTTTTACACAGATCTCTTTTTGTGCTAAAGCAATGGTGCAAACACCTGTACCTTATACAGGTATTGCATAGTATACCCTGGGCTGTCAGGAAGTACAGAAATGAAAGGCAGTGGCAGTATCTCCATTATTTCCAGCCTTAATTCAATCCTCCATTTGAACATGAATGTACTTTGTCTAATAAAGCTACACATCCACTCCCAGAGTCCTTCTCCGTTTTGGTTTATGAGACCTCTGATAGCAGCAGAGGCAGACCCCTCTGCCTTGTTACCTGGATAGAAATAGGAAGAGAAAGACAGCAGAGGCCACTGGGATCTTTCCCTCTGATGGCCAAAGGAAGATTAAAGATCTCTAACTTCTGAAGGTAAAAGATCACCTTGTCCCCAGATCATAATTACAAGAAATTTTAATTACAAGAATTTTTCACAAAGGCACCCAATGTAGCATTTCCATAAGATATTCCATTACAAATTACCTTACCAAATTCCAGCTCCTTCCAGATAGTTTAATATCATCCACCCTCCAAATGAGGATTTAAATTACCCTTACCATTAATAAGTATTATATAACAACTTCTCTAATTGCAAAACTTTAGGTATCTCTTATGTAATAATGACAATGGCAATGTTAATAGAATAATCACTCTGTGCCCAGCCAGCATTGTTCTAAGTTTACATTCATTAATTCATTATGATGAGTCAGGATTCACACCCAGCAGCTGTGTCCAGAGTCTTTTCCATATTGAGATAAATCAAGAATCCCAGGGTCATTTTCTCTGCTGGGACTCTTCAACTGGGAAATGGTTCCTGAAACCACAGAGGACTGTCATAGCAAACAGGAAGTGTGTGGAGCTAGAACCCCAAACCAAGGCTTCTAGATTCAAATTTAGAGTTCTATTCACACTGCCACCCCAGTTGCTGGTGAGGAGGAGGTAGGATTGTGCTATAAAACAAATACAGAGCCTAAATATAGCATGTGATCAGAGGAGTCTCAGAGAAGTACTCAGCAAGCACATGGCTTGACTGATGTTTGAGCCTCTCTAGAAATTAAAGGGCATAGTGGAAGAGAGACTCAAGATAAATCCACAACGTATAGTATTTGGAAGAGATTGGGGAGTGTCCACAGTTGTAGCAGTACATATGCAGGCAAGGTCTTTCACGGAGAAGACATGATATGCCTAACCCAAGAGGGTTTTCTGGAGCAGAAGTTAAGAATAGTGGCCAATGGGAATTGAGCTCTTACTCAATGTTAGGTACCCAGTCCACTGCTTTCTCTATGATCTCTATAACTCCTCCACAATCCTATGAGATATTGAAACCTAGATGGAAGCAAAATAGGAACTAAGGAAAAGGGATAAAACTGGAGATCATCATATTGAGTGAAATAAGTCAGAGAAAGACACAGGTGCTTGCTGTGTGTTCTCTCTTATACGCAGAAGGAAAGGCAAGACAAGAAGGAAAAGCAAGACAAGAGTTTAAAATGGGTATTGTGTGGGGAAGGAAATGAGTGGGAGAAGGAAGAGGAAAGGAAAGGATAATTAGGAGAAGTGATTTTTGACTGAAGTACTTTATATGCATGTATGAAAATAGGATAATGAAACTTATTTAAACTGTTCTAAAATGGGAGAGGGAGGACAGAAAGAGCAGTAGAGGGGCTGAATTTGATCAAAGTACATTATATGCAATATGGAAATTTCAGTGGAATCTCCTTATACAGTTAATATATTCATGCTAATAGAAAAGAGACTGTTCTGAATAAACACATGCAAACTCTTATTTTAAAAACTCCCAGGCTCCATTCCCCGAGAGAAGTAAACCTCTTACATAGTGTCCCAAGGACTCTGAATGGCGTAGTTCAGAATATCTCTGTGTAAGAATGGGGAAATCTCCAGTATTGTTCCTTTTGTCTAAACAGAATAGGGCTGGCTCTGAGGAAAGACATGGTCATTAATTTTCAGAAATGAAAACGGCCTCACTGTGATTCTTCAGGCGTGGTGAACTCTCTGGGACATTCCCATGCTCTATATTCATATCCAAAAATGCTGATAATCCAGCCTCATCACAAGATCACCATGACAAAAATGCAGGTTACTTTCTACCTCTCTCTCTCTCTCTCTCTCTCTCTCTCTCTGGGACCATTTGGGAGAAGGAAAAGGCAGAAGATGACACTACCTGATCCATGAGCCTTTATCTACGTTGGCATTCAAAAGTCAGCACGAGTAGTGTCTCTCTAAGGGCTACACTGCCTATAGACAGGGAGAGCAGACCTTGGCCAATGACTGACTGCATGGCGGTATAAAGACCTCCACACCTCAGTGGACGAGAACTCAGATGTGATTGCATTGCTCTGAAGTCCCCTGCAGGGAATCTGACCTCCTTCCCTCCCTGATTTACAACTCTGTTCTCTTCTGTTTTTGTTGGTGGTGTTTTTTTCTGTTTTGTTCTGTTTTGGTATCACTTCAAAACAAACCACTTTCGTGGCCATCACTGTCATTGCTCTGGATCTGGTGTACACCACCTTAGAGGTAACACCACTCCTGGTAGACTAAAGGGGCCACAGGCACCCATTTAATCCCAACTCCCCGTGAAGAAACATCTAACTCATTAACACTCTCACAGTTCATTATGAGGAACCTTAGTCACTTGGCACAAAATGGCATGTTCTCACAATCTGCTTACAGTGTCCTTGCTCATTGCTGAACTACTTGCTCCCTCAATCACTTAAAAAGTTATAGAGATCAAGTTATTGTGAGGGAGATGGCCAGAATGTCCTTGCACGGTATGATTGAATGAACACTTAACAAGGAAACTATGAACTAAGGCCAAAACAATTGTGGCTTCAACAAATGAAAACATAATGGGTTCAATGGCTCAAAATGCTGTCTGGCAGCCTGAGAATCAAACAGATCCCTGTGCTCAAGTATGCTCAAGTATGAGGTCTAGAAAAAAAAAAAAAAACAGTCTGACCGCCCCTTCATTTTACCATTAAACATTTCTCCCAGTAGTTTTAAACTGTACTTACACACACTGCCAAATGAAAGATCAAACTATCTGTAACGGTTCTCATTTATTTTTTTAATGATGAACTATTTTTGGCATGTCTCTTTGGACTAGATTTTGTTATCCCAGGCCTGAAAAGAAATTCCACATGAAAATCATTCAAAAACACTTTTGTAAATACCTGAGAGTTTGTCCTTCTCTCCCATTTTATACAATAACTTGATAATGAAGAATAATTAAAATAATCTTTTAAATAAGAGAGGAGAAGATGCATTGAATTTCAAAAATATTTTTACCTATAAAAATTTCAAGTGTGCAAATATCTGTAATAGAGAAATTAATTTCCAAAGCTTCATCGATCTGGAGTATCTGCATCCAATGTGTTTCCACTATATCAATGTGGTTGTAACAAAAGTTCTGCTTCATGTGATGGGTAGCCTAATTGAACAGTTATAATTACAACCATTAATGTCCATATGGCAAAGGCACAATGTCATCACTCAGAAGTACATAGCTGTGACAATTGTGATTTTTTTTCCCATCTTAAAATCTGAGCACCTGGTTTTCCTAGATATCTGTGATCCAAGGGCTATAAACAATTCCTTCAAAAATGTTCCAGGGCAAGTTTCATGAGCTGCTCAACTGGACCCAGCCAGAGGCTTCAAGATGGCGTTGTAAAGAATTTGTTGAGGGGAAATCCACCCCCAGTGTAACGAGTGGCTGGTTTGATCGCTGAGACAGTGTTTTCTGTGGGTAGTCTCTCCTTGCTTCTGTAAGAAAAGAGGCAAAAGTTAGTTTCTCCCGTGTTTTTTCATCCTCAAACGTTTGATGTTCTGGAAGTTCCTAGAGCAACTTAGCCACCAAAAATGACCTTGATTAAAGCTTCTAGTTTTAGACAAGGTTGTAAATCTAATTAAACATCTGCTGATAGCACATCGAACCAGGGGAAGACAATTAAATGTGAAATGTGTTCTAATGTTGATCTAAATATGGTCAGAGGACCCCATCCCAGGTCAGGCACCATGGAGTTAGTGGCTCCTCACTGGTGATCATCTTCCTGTTTTAGAAAATATTTGTTTAGTCCCAAAGATCAGTCAGGAGAATCCTTCTCTTAGCTCCATTATAATGACTAATTCACCACAGTCCAAAGATCTAGTGGAAGCTTATAAATATTTACTACATACTAGCTACCTCTCATCAGATTTGGACATTTATAAAATACAAATGTTCCTGTCATACTATGAAAAGCAACAGTTATTAGCAGAAATCATTGAAGACACAAGAAAATTTGGGAAGATTTTAAAGGATAGTATTTTAGTAAAATGAGTTCTATCCTGAAATATACAATGTATATTCTATATGGGTCTCCTTTATACACACACACACACACACAGGTTTCCCACAGAGGTAACTTAGTTTTACACAAGTGATCATTTGTATAAGGGTGTTGGAGAAAACACCCTTTGCAGAATCCCTTTTAAACCAAAATTAAGCAAACTGTTGGGACTATATTCAAATATTAAACAGGACACCTATGAATGACTTGCCTTAAATGAATGAATTCTGCCTTTTCCCAAAAGAATCCAACTGTTCTTAGAAACTTTAGACCAGCCAGGGGATTTGAGATAGAAAAATAAAGGGGAGTCGGGGTGGGGGGTGAGGGAGGTAAGACACAGGGTAGGATGAAAAGGGTATTTCAGAAAGATGAAAGGAAGCAAAAGGGGGGAAATGATATCAGTTTCTATTTTTACAGAGAACCTCCACTGGGAATATTCTAAATTATCCCATTTGGAAAGAATCTGTAGCAGGGGGCTGGTTTAATCAACCCAGTGGTCTCTAAACAGACTTGCTTGATAACTGTGAAACTCCATCCCCCACAAATAAGACAAAAACCTCAGCTTTGAGTGGTTCCAGAAAAGAGGACTCCTTCATGTTCTTTGGCAACTTGTCTGGCTCCTGATTGGTCTTAGATGCTGGCAGCCTTCTATCCCTTTCCCCTCCCCTCTTGCCTTAAATAACCTAAATTCTCCTTTCTGAAGGAACTTCGGCTTAATGCTTCTGGCTTGGTCTAAAGCTGACTAATGGGAATACTGTCTCCTTTACATTATCTTTTTAATGTATTTATAGGCCATTATAATGACTCCCTGCAGCCTTCTTCTTTCCAGTCTAAACCATCTCAGCACTTTTGTTCTTGCCTCTGCATATTTTTTCTTCTGTACCTTAATCTCTTTTGCTGTGCTCCTAAGAACTCACCTCTCTGTCTATTGGTTTATGGATCCCCAAGTAGATGTGCCCATCTGTGAAACCCTGCCAGGCCATCGAAGTTACAAGTGATGAGCATTTAAGGACCAGAAGAGGACAGGTAAAGGGAGAAGCTCGTGAGCAGCACCCTCATACAAATCTCCCAGCAATAATGGAAATGTCCCATGGGGAGCCACCAAAAACATGTGGCCCTTGAGCAGTTGAAATGCCAACAATATGAATGAAAAAAGAGAGTTGGGCTGGGAAGGTGGCTCAGTGGTAGAGTGCTTGCCTTGCATGCATGAGGTCCTGGGTTCCTCTGTACCACATAAACAGAAAGAGCCAGAAGTGGTATTATGGCTTAAAGGCTAGAGTGTTAGGCTTGAGCACAGAGAAGCTCAGGGACAGTGACCAGCCCCTGAGTTCATAAAAAAAAAGAGAGAGAACAAAAGCAAAGAAAAAGTAAAAGAGAGTTGTCATTTCATTTTTTTTAATGTGCCAATTCTGGGGTTTCAACTCGGGGCTTAGGCGCTGTCCCTTCACTTTTCTTTCTCATGTCTGATACACTCTAACACTTGAGCCACAGCTTCACTTCCAGTTTTTTTGGTTACTAGTTGAAGAATCTTACAAATTTTTTTTGACAACTGCAGATCATGGACCCTGTTCAAAAGATGTATGCTTGGTAGGACTAGGAATCTGTTCTCTAAAAAGCTTTCAGTTTGGGACTGGCTTGGTTCACAGATTCTAATGACACAACTTCATTAACTGGTCCATGGGGGAGCCCCACTTCGTGGATACAGCTCCTCATTTTAGACCACAAGGTTGACTCAGTGTGCTGTGTCTGAAGCAGAATGAGTCTCACACGGCCAGGATTCAGGCCACAAGAATCAGATCCATGGCTAAACGTCTTAAATGACAAACTAACAAGACATGTAAACTATTTTCATTTATCTTTCATTAATGACATCTACTGTTTGAAGGCTTAAGTTTTACAAACAGAAAGAAGAGCATGGTAAGATTTTTTTTTCAGTTAAGTTGTAACTGTTCTGTTCATATAGATTAAATCATGGAGATTTCTCTGATTTAAAAAAATAATAATAAAAAAAGAATCTTACAAACTTTCCTGCCCTGGTGGGATTCAAATCACGATCCTCAGATTTTAGCCTCTTAGTAACCAGGATTACAGGCATTGCCCATTAGCGCCTGGTTCCATTTAATTTAATTGTTTAAACTTACATAACCACCAGTGGTATAAGACTGAGACCGCAGGGTTCTCCTTATGGACCACTAAGAAGGGCTACGCCAGAGAGGAGGCTTGTCCTTCTGTGCCCAGAAAACTACAGGGTGGTCAGTAAGACCAAAGAAGACTAAGCCAAATCCCAGGACAAAAGCAGGAAGTGAGCAGTGCCGAAAGGATAACTGACTATGCAGCCAAGTTGGCTTTTGTCTCCAAATAAGGAACCCTGGAAGATGAATGAGATGACCCACTGGTGTAAGACAGAAGTTTTCAGGGATTCTACTTGTGACTTGATCTTAAATTATGCTCTGTTATTAGTTACAAAATGACAAGAGTATGCATGTCACCTGTACATTAAAATATATTGGGTACAAATTTAAAACCATCCTAAATTTTTTTTACTTTAAAAAATATATGTGCATAGCCAGGCACTGGTGGCTCATACCTATCATCCTTGCAGCTCAGGAGGCTGAAATCTGATTGCAGTCTGAAGCCAGCCCAGGCAAAAAAGTACGCATGAGACTCCTGTCCAATTAACCACTCAAAAACCGGAAGTGGCACTGTGGCTCAAAGTGGTCGAGCACTAGCCTTGAGCAAAAGAGTGTGTGTGTGTGTGTGTGTGTGTGTGTGTGTGTGTGTGTGTGTGTGTGTGTGTGTATAGCTAGATGGGAGAGGGAACTGCAGTTCAAGGATCTTTAGTGATGGGGGGTGTTCTCAGAAAGCTTGCAAGTTTAAATAAGGATACAGGTGGACCCGTTGCAACAATGAGAAGTACAAGTTGTCATGTTGAAAATGAACTTTACAACTTTGATGGGGGGGGAGGATTAGGTGGGGGGAAGGGGGGAGGCTGGGAAGGGATGGGAAGGGTAGACAAAGGAGGAGGCTGCAATGCTTGATAAGAAATGTACTCATTATCTTGCCCATGTAATTGTAACCCCTCTGTACAGTATTTTCACAATAAAAAAGAAAGAAAGAAAGCTTGCAAGTCTGACTAAGAAGTTCCATTAAGCTAGAACTCTCCCTCAGGCGGGACCTAGCCACATCAACATTTTATAAGCACAACCTTGAAAGGAGGAGGGAGAGAAGGGGAAGGAAGGAAGGGAAGGGAAAAGGAGAGGAGCCATAGTGTTTCCACTATTCATTTACTTTATGTCTTTAATCTCAGTGGTTCTTGAAGTTCAATGTGCCTGAGAATCAGTGAGCGGCTTGTGAAGTTACAGGCTTCTGAGGCCCAGCCAGCACCTGCTGAACCCAAATAGCTGGATCCCACGTCCTGCATGCCTAATAAATCTCACAAGAGATTCTGAATCGGATAGTTGCTAGATCCACACTTTAAGACAGACTTATCTAAATGATAGCAGTATTTTACTCCACCAAGAAGCCGACATGTAAATGTGGACCAGGGGACTACTTCTGATTTACAAGAAGGGCAGATTTTTACTGGCGAATGAATTTGCATCCAGTTACTTTATATACTGTTTGCTGCTCACGGATTATAGACAGATACACTCAAACCATATTTCAGCTTATCCCCAAAATCTCCTTGTAGATGAAATACCAAATGTGACTTTCAACTTGTAATGGGAAGTCACCACAGAGCTATCTGAATGATATTACCAATGACCCAGACTCTAACCAAGTTTCAGATGGATTGATTCCTTTGAGCCCACCCCACCTCTCTTCTGGGACCCAGCTGACATTCATCACAAAATAATGGGAGCAGCAGGTGTCCACCTGAAACTCTAATTGACAACCTTGAGTTTGCATTTCCACCTTTTAGAAAGAGAAGTGCCATTTGACACTCTACCTCAGACACTGTGTAGCTTACTAGTTGGTTCAAGATAGTTTCTCTGACATGTGCTCCTGATTATAGGGATCTGGCTACAGTACTTGAGAGACAGGCTTCACCAAGTCCTGCTTAGCAGAAGTGCATGCAGCTTTGTGAATATGTTTTTCCACCTGTGCAAAGTGGATTTTTGAATCTCATTTGCAAACAGGGTATGGTTATCTCTACACCATAAGAAGTGTCTGGATGGGAAGACACATTATATATTAACACATTATATATTACTCCTTCTGTTCCATGTTTGACCCATCAGTGAGTAGACACTTCTGTGAGGGATCTAAGAAGGAGCTCAGTGCTAGAGGAGACCCACCTCTCTCCTTATGAACCTCTGATTGATTGTTCACCCTGTGACTTAGTTTACCCCCTCTCTGAAGTTCTTGACTCAGTGACTGTTTGCCAAGTATTTTATGACCATAGAGTAGGCACACATGGGAATGTTTGACCAATTCTTACTTCTGAAGCATTTCTTTACGTTTCTGAGCCAGGTATTTCTTCTTCAAATTTGCCAATTCATTGCCAAGTTTCTCAATCTCGTATTTATATTCTTGGCTCTGTGATTCATACATATTCAATTCTGAAGACAAAACCTAATGTGGCAAATAAAGCAGCATTAGCAAAGGATAGGCAGCACAACAATATCCTTTCCTGAGACATCTTCTTATACTGCTACAGTTTACCTCCAGTGGGGACAGAAGTACAAAACAATGCCTAGGCTTAACAACTACTCTTTGAATTTCTACCTTTCTCAAGGTCTGTTCTGTAACTGGGTCAAAATTGTGGCTGAGGACTGAAGGCTCATCAAGTGAATAAAACATTCACTCCTGCTAAAAGAGCTATCAGGTAACATTCAAATAGGCTCAGCTGAATGATATAATGTGTTTCAAGGAATATTGTGTGCAGAGACATAAAAACTCCCAAACATGCAGTCTAAAATTGTTCTCAAAGCCTTTATAAAAATATTCAAGAAAAATCACACTAAGGAGTATGATTTAGATGAGGATTGCAATAAGGATTATTCTGAGCCAGGCGCTGGTGGCTCACCCCTGTAATCCTAGCTACTCAGGAGGCTGAGATCTGAGGATCTCAAAGCCAGCCTGGGCAGGAAAGTTTGTGAGACTCTTATCTCCAATAAACCACCATAAAACCAGAAGTGGCTTTGTGGCTCAAGTAGTAGAGTGCTTGCCTTGAGCTGAAGAGCTGAGGGACAGTACCCAGGCCCACAGTTCAAGCCTCATGACTGACAAAAAAAGAATTATTCTGAAATAATTCTTGCCACCAGCACTAAACAGAGCATCCAATCTATGTTTGCCAAGGTGGTTGTTCTACTAAATGATTCTCACCTCTTTATCCGAGCACTGGGACACTTACTGGGAAGAAGCTGTGACAGGTGCATAGGAAAGTGTAATGCAACCCAGAGGCTGTGATTAGAAGCTAGGTCACCCATCTCCTCCCATGGCCATGTTCAATTAATGGTCTCTGATTGGACAGAGTAAGGATTTACTCATCCAGACAAGACATAAATATAGAAATGGATTCATAACCTGACCTATGTAACTGTAATCCCGCTGTACATCACCTTTACAATAAAAATAAAATTTTTTAAGATATAAAGCATGCCCAAGCAAGGATGTGTGCCCTGCCAAAAACCACAGTGAGAAAAAGCTCCATTGTTGTTCTAAGGGGTACGCAAGATTCATTTTAACTCTTGTTCAATATGTTGAAGGTATGGATTTTTTTAATCACCATTTTTTTGCTTTGTTTTTGGAAATGGGTCTCTATGCACTTCAGGCCCCCTTCAAACTCACAATCCTCTTGCCTCAATCTTCCAAATGCTGGGATTTCAGATATTTACCCACCATGGCCAGCTTTTTATAAAGATGATCATTATTTGGATAGATTTCTGTGCTGAGAACCAAACCCAAGTCCTTCCACCTGCCAGCCACGTATGTTACCACTAAGTCACAACCCCAGCTCTTGATCTGCACTCTTTGGAGTGCTCATCTGCTTCAGAAACCTTTCCTCTTAATTACTTGAAAATGATTCTGACTGTGCTATTTTATCTAAGGAATGGGATTTTCATGCTGGAGGAAAAAAATCCATCTCAATAGTTAAATTCTTAGGAACAGCAACTTTGTTTCTAAATAATGAATAGAGAATTTCCTGAGCGGCCAGATAATGACACTGACCTGTTAGTCTAGCTCAGGACCACCTGCTTCTAAGTCTCTTCTGCAAGAAGTATTTGTTACAATGCATTCTTAGCCAAAAAAAATCAGATTTCCCCTAGGTAAAGGATTAAGGTAACAAAGGGCCCCTGTGTGAGCCATTTATGGCCAATTCAGACCAACATATAAAAACTTGTGCACACTCTGAAAAAAATACTAGGGAAAATACTTCATTTGAAATAATTATTCTAAGGAACTAAAATAAATTACAAGTATATGTCTCATGCAAAATTCAGCTTATGTGTCTGAATACTCATGTGAAATGAGCAATCAGAATAATTTTGAAAATTAATGTTCTACTAGATGTCCATATTATTGGTCTTTTTGTGTAAAACATCTGACAATATCCTGTCTTTCCAAGAGTTAATGCTATAGTAGTAGATTGGCATCTATTTTCCCCTAGGCAGAGAGCAATAACTATTACCTTTACTTGGTAATAATACAGCCCATGGATTTGTATGTATGAAACTTCCCTCATGTGCCAAGAATAGAAGATACTTGCGTGGGAGGTAAAGCTGAAAAATATCACGTAAAGACACATCATTTGGGGGAAAATGTACAGAAAGCACATAGAATAGTAAAAACCCCATCTCTACAGCTGAGGCTCATGAGTGACTTAGAAGGGTGTTGTGTTAAAAATAATAATTCTCGCATGATTTTATTTCCTTTCATGGCTTGTTATCTGACACACATGGTCATGGAATCAGGCCCTGAGGACTAATCTTTTGCTTTGATCTAGGCCCTGGACCCATTTATTTCAGGAATAGCAGAAACCTGTTTTGACATGGGACTGCTTCATAATCATGTCCAACGTTTCTGCTACTCCTTTCCACGATCCAAGTCTTCTCTCATCTTGTGATTATCCACACCAACCCTTTCCTCCAAGTTTCCAATTTCCTTGCCTTCATCCTTCCCCCCAACTCTTTCCTCTTGTGCTCACTGCCCCCTCTTTCTGGAACCCAAGGTGGCTAATGAGCTCTAGCTAAACTGGCTCATGAAGGGTAGCATCTGAGAAACCAGTTAACTGTGTGTCCAGGCATGGACTGGCCCCAGGGATTCAACCAGTCAGGAGCAGAGCCTGCCACTTACTTTAAGTTGCTTGGTCTTCTCCTGCAGCGTATGCCGGTAGATCTGGAGCTGCTCTGCAGCCTCAGGGCCAGGCTGCCGGGCCAAGATGTGTTTCAGTTCCACATACAGTTTCTCCTTTTCCTGGTGGAGAGCATAAACCAGAACAGAAATCAACAGCTCTGCCGCAGCAAGGAAAGTACCTTTTACTACATGGCCACAATGGCTTGAGACTGTAGCTGTACACTGACTGCATTTGCTTGTTGGTTCAATCTGCACACATCACACCATCCCTTACTAATGCTAGTACTTGGACTCAGTAACAAGACAAATGAGGGGACATAAGATCACATACAGTCATAAGGTAGCACTGGGTGAGCTCAACTGGTGAAAGCAGAAGTGGCTGACAGGAAGATCTAAGAGAGGTTTTCTGAAAATGGTATTTGAATCGTTCCTCCCAAAGTAAGTAGGATTCGTCCTCAACCAAAGAGAGAAAAGAAGAGAATTTTAGGTCCAAGTTCTGTGATGGCACAGGGGTATGGTGATAAATCCAGCTCAGCAGAGCCCAGGTCATGAGGAGAGAAGGAAGAGGGAGAGAGAAAACCCAGCTCATAGGGTAGGCCCCGATTGTGCTGAGAACATGACCTATTGTGGCAGTTGGCAGTGATAAGACATGCCTGGTTGTCTTCAGAAAACACATCCAACAGCATCAAGGACAGTGCAGAATTAAGATTCTGCCCAGGGACCCAGTGAAAGCAGGTGATGCAGGAAGCTGGACCTCAGGCCTCAGGGTGGGAGCTGTGTGGATGTGGAGACATCGGGAAAGTAGAATCCAAGGAATCTGGAGAATGATCAGACAATGGAAAGAGAAAGGGAAGGAGCCACAAGGACTCCCAAGTCTCCAGTGGTAAGAGGGAAGCTGGTGGTGACAGAGACGGGGATGGCATAAGAAGAGGAGGTAATGTAGAGGTAAGGGTCAAGGGGCTCGGCATGTTTCTGTCAATCATAGAGGTAGCACTGAGACTGGACCCTGTGGGATACCTGAGAAAGAATCTAGGGCAGCAAATGGAGCAAAAGGCATTGAGAAGCAAAGAGCAAGTCAGATCAGAAAAGCCAGGTCTTTGTGAGAACAAGAATATGGAAGGATGTGGAAGGAAAGGAGAGCAGAAAAAGAAAATTATGGAGACAATCAAACTTCTCCCAAAGAAAAAGAAGAGGCCAAAGTGGGGCAGAGGCAGAGGGGGGATGGTTGGGGTCCAGGGACATCAGATGACATGAAGAAGAGAGAAGGAGGGCTGCAAGCAGCCTTGGGTGCCTCACTGGGATATCGCAGATGTCAACTCAGGCTGCAGTAGCATGGGTTAAAACAGCCATCAGAAGCAAGTGAAGAAGGCGAGTCTTTCAAGACATATGAAAAGCATCGGAAGGAAAAAGAACTGAAAATATGTTGAGGCATGGGGATGAGAATTCAGAAAAACAAGGCGAGGCAGCGCTGTCAGGCAAAAGGAAAGGATTTCCTAGAATCTATAGCAAAGCAAATTTCCACAACTTAAACAGCAAGCAATGTCACATATATCCTAACTTCCAGTACTGGCAAGATGGTTTTGGATCCTAAAAATATTGTACACAAGCAACGATTTACTTCTAAATTACCTCGATTTGAGATTGCCATACCTCTAAAGTACAATAATTTGAACAAACATTGATAATGATGAGAATGTCTGCTCATTAGTATCTGTACATACTTATTTCCTTAAGGTAATTATGTTAAAAGAAAAGCCATGAGAAGTACAAACCCTCTCATTAAATAAAATATCTAGTCAAACCAAAACTAATTTTTACCTAGAGCTACCTAATCTTGACGTTGTCATCAAATTATCTTTTTTTTTTGCTAGAGCATATAAAAACCTTGAGGAAAAAGTAGGTAAAATTCATTAAGTAGGCATTGTTACCATTTGTTTTAGTTTTGTTTTTCCTCTGGGAAAAATATAGAAACTTTATTACAAAAGCAGAGCTTTACCTACAGGAGAGCATTTGCCACATAAAAATTAGTGAGAAGCTTTTGCACACACACACACACACACATACACACACGTACTGTCATTAAAGAAATAATTCTAGAAATGACACCAAAAATCTGTGCTAAAGAAAACTTGCACAATAGAATTACAAAGTGGTGATTTTCCTTTGCCATCCAACCCCTTCTGTCACACCTTACAATATAACCTTCACAGTAAATGGATGTAGCAAGCAATGAAAAAGATATCAGGAGGTGAGTTTATTTTCTATAGCCACTTAACGCCTGCTCTGTTGAAAAAAAAAATAACACTTCTGACAAGGCCTCAAGATTCAATTTGGAGAGGGTAATACGTATGTGGAGAAGTCCACATAACTGTTTTGTCCATTTCTTTCAGCTCACCTTTCTTTATTCCAGGGAACAGGGAACTTGAAAAGTAAAGAATCCCACAATGATGAAGGGGAAGCAATCTAGTTTGGGATATAATAATGTCTTCAAGTGAAAAGACCATCTTACTGTGAGAACCAGGAGTTTCACAAGTGTAATTCTTTTCAGTCACGTGGGGCAGGTAGGCAGCACGAAAACAGGAAGAAGAAATTTTAGAGGAAGTAAATATTGTTACAGCACTTCATACTTGAGAATCTCAAGGTCAGTAGGGATTAATGCTCTTCCCAAAGTCCTTTGGTAAGGGAAAAACTGAATTATGATACATTTAAAATTCCTTTTTGTCCATGCGGTACTTCCAGTGGGGCTTTAAAGACATGGTAGTACCTGAAAAAAGCCTGGATCAAAATGGGCTACAAAGCTGGACTTGGTGGTGCACACTGTAATACTAGCTGCTCAAGAGGTGGGGGTTAGAGGATTGTTGTTAGAGGATGGCTAAGGTAAGAGCTTAGATTCTCTCTAAAAATCAAGCTAAAATTGAAAGGGCTGGGGTTTGGCTCAAGTAATAGAAGCTTGCTTAGCCCATGCAAGACATGAGTTCAATTGCCAGTACTGAAAAACAGAATCCCACAAAATTCCTGAAAACTACATGACAATGTCAATAGATGAGGAGAGCCAGCAGGTGAAATCAAGTTCAAGGCCAGGGTAGAGGGTATATGAAGTACAGATGACTCCACCCTGTCTTTTCCTCACCTACATCATCAGAAAGAGTCCTGCCCAGGTCCTCTACCAGAACATATAGTCTTTGGATACTAAGGGAATGTTATTATTGTTCAACCTGTCTTATTCCATCACTTTCTCTCTCTTTTTTTCCAGACTGTAAAGTGAATTGTAGTGAATTTAATCTAAAGAATAGCTGAGCAACTGAACAGGGAGTACCCACAAAGGTGGAAGAAGTAAAGAAACTGAATGAATTACCATTAAAACAGCCTGAGGACTCAAAGTCAAAGAACTCGGAGAGAGCTCAGTTCCTCAGCACAAGTGATGTCTGTGTGTGCGTGAAACTTCATGAAGAGTGGCAGCAGTGGTGGGTAGTAGTTGGAATGTTTTGCCAGGAGCTGGTGTGAGTGAATTTTGGTGTACATGCGCAATGGAAAAAATCTGATAAAAACCCAAAGTGAAGGCTGGTGAGAATTAACATTCTAGCCATGTATGTCACACAAATTTGTATTTAGGGATGTCTGCTAGTAATTTAGATAAATATGAGGCGTTTGATGGATTGAAGGTCTTAAGTACGATTGTCTTCCAATTTATTCCTCTCTAACCCTCTACAAGGGCCAACCAAGCTCTTCAAACATTGTGCAATGGGGTGTATAATAACCCCATTTAGAGACAAAGCATGCAGTTCTATTATAAAGAGAATCTATCTTATGCAACAGAGACTCATTAGCTGTCCAATGTATATTGTCTCCATAAGAGAGCAGAGGCAGAACCAGCTGCCTCACAATACATATCCTGTCCCTCTTCATTAAACCACATCCATTTCTCTTTAAACTCAGTCAATTAATTTGTCACTTGGTTAGCAGCACCATATGTCAATAAAAGATCATAAGAAAATCACAGAATAGTTTTATTTCATCACTAGTGAAAAACTTCAGGTTGGTATTTCTTTACTCAAGAGTTTGTTTATAGTGCACATCAATATCAATTAGTGGTAGGCTTCATTTTTTGAATTATTTTACTTATTGCTACACTTGAATAAAGCTAGACTATTGACACTGAGAATCTAGTTTTCTCTTTGGATGGGCAAGCCTCTGTGTGTGTGTGTGTGTGTGTGTGTGTGTGTGTGTGTGTGTGTGTGTGTGTGTGCACGTGCATGTGCATGTATATGCATGGCACATGTGCCAGTGCTGGAGTTTGAACTCAAGACCTGGGTAATATCCTTTAGCTTTTTTGCTCAAGACTGGTGCTCTACCACTTAAGCCACACCTCCACTTCTAGGTTTTTGACGGTTAGAGATAAGAGATTCATGGACCTTCCTGCCTAGGCTGACTTCAAACCACAATCCTCAGATTTCGGCCTCCTGAGTAGCTAGGATTATAGGCATTTGCCAGGCTGGGTAGGCATGACTTGAAAGCACACCATAGTCTATCCATCCTTGAAATTGAACTTTCTTTCTAGACATCCATTCATCCAATAGTCAGACATGACTATAGAGTCTTTGGCTGCAAGAATTGTTGCTAAATTATATTGGGTGACAGCATATCTGATTGTCAATATAAGCTGAGAATAGTGTTAAGACATTAATTATAGTATTAGCTTCAAATAATGCTGTCATTTCTGTAACAGTCTGTAACCCCCATTGGAAATTCCAGCTAGAGAATCAGTGAGATTTCAGCTATTTGTATTTTACCTAACAATAAATTAAAAGTCTGCACTGGGAATGGTCTATGCAAATAAGACACTGCACTATTCTGGGTACAGTTAAGAGAAAGAAAATTGAACTGCTCACAGAACTCCTTTCCCTCCCAAGCTACAGTTGTATAATCACTGTCTGTTTATGCTCTCTGTCTTTTGCTTTGCAACTTTGGCTGAAAACAGAAGATAGTTCACATTCAGCATGCACCTCCACAACCCCTCTGCCTTAGCTCGCCTACACCAAGCAGAAACTGACTGAGAGGAACTAATTTATTCTATTTCCATCTGACTCTGTGTTTGGCAAGTGCCAGTGCATTGATTCTGC